TCTAGGGCTGTCGAGATCTGCAAACGCCAACATCACCAGCTGCCATCCTTTCTCTGCGAGGTACCCTTCAATGTCCACCGTGGGATGCCTCGGGGCGGAGGGGCTGGTTACAGAGCGGCAGCGCTGGACCCAGCGGAGAGCTCCCGCAGCCTCTCCGCAGCCTGCGCCTTCCGCGGAGCGTCATTCCATCACGCCCCCGCCGTCCCCTACGCACAACGGCGGGGGGCGGGGGGGGCGCAGAGGGAACCGATGCAGGGCGCACGGCGGAGCTACGGGCTCCCCGCACTGTCGGGTGGGTGCCGGTACCCCGGGGAGCCGCGCAGAGCCCCGGGGAGTGGCGGTACCGCTTCCTACCTCCCGCCCGCCCGCTCCGAGGCAGAGGGGATCGGACCCCCCCACGCACCCTCCTGCCCCGCCGCCGGCCGCCCGGTGCCCGCCTCCCTCCATCCCTCCCTCCTTCCCTCACGCCGACTCTCCCCGTCGCCAGGGCAACGCGGCGCCGCTCCCCTCCCTCCGTCGCCGGAGGGGCCGGGCTCAGGTGACCGCAGGCAGCCAATCAGCAGCCCCCCGAACCCACGTGCCGGGTGGCGGGCAGGCGCGCCAGCGGGAGGGTGGGGCGGTGCGGCCGAGGCTGTGGCGGCCGTTACAGGCTCAGGGCACAAGAGGGCTTGTGGCGAGCGGCCGCTCCCGCCGGGGCTGAGGGGACTGGTATCCCGCTGGCCTCCCACTGGTGGTGCCAGGCCAGGGCGAGCCCCACTTGAAGTGCTCAGGTCCCTTTTATCCTTCCAGGAGAAGAGACGAGACTGTCGCGATGTTGCTATACGGACTGGGCAAAATCCGTTGCTCCCACTGAGTGGAGAGAGTGAGGCCTTGTAATTTGGAAAAGTCCTTTCTGCCTGTCCCACCTAAAAATCACAATGGAGGTTCTCTGGCAAAGCACTGCAAAATCCTCTCCTTTTCAAAGTACTTGAGTAGCTTTTTTTCCTACTAGCTCAAAATCTGAAATATTTTTCTATTCTGCAGGAAACAAGTCACCTAGCTAGAATCATAGTGTCAATACCAAATAGAAGTTCAGAAACCCAGCCCTTCACAGAGAATAAACTGTTCACAGTCAGTAAAAAAGGCATACTTTGCTGCTACTTGCTGTGATGTTAATTGGGAGCTTTCCTGAAGTTAGTGATGCTCCAACATTGGTGATACCAACCTCAGAGACCTTGGTGAAAGAACTGCTATTGCAGGGATTAGTTTTATTTCTAATGAAAAGGCTAATCATACCAGTACAGTCTACACAGTTGTATGTATACACCAGAAATGGTGTTAGGTTCTGAAAAGAATGAGCCAATGGATATACTTGGCAGTAAAGCTTTTTCATATAAACAGAATTTTTGGGAACTTCTCACAGAGATAAAACTTCGGAGTTTGCCAACCACATGGACTTTTATAAAAACAAATAATTCTTATTGAAATACAGCAAGATGTCTGTGAAGAGATAAATGGTTGATGCAAAATTAGTTATTTTCAGTAAAAAAAAAAAAACAACTAAACAGCCAACCATAACTCAGAATTTACGGTGGTTTCCAAGTAATTATCTTATAAAGGGCCTTCAAAGAAGAGTTTTGCTTCAGGACCCTTGCCAGAAGGAGCTCTGCAAAAGGCTGGAATTTCAGTGCTGCAGCACAACGGTGGCGCATCTGTTGTGAATGGCAGCTGCTGCACAGCACTGAGCATGCTACATTTTTTCACTATTTACAGACAACTGCTTTGCATATTATCTGTTTTCTGTAGACACGAGTGAAATGTGTTGTGTTTTTCTTAGTAAAGTCGTGTGTGTTTCAGATACTAATTTTAAAGTACTATAATTACACAAGTGTATTAATACATCCCAGACTTCTTACAGTGTTGACTAAACACGGATGATTACCATATAAAGAAACATTAAGACTTTCTTATCAGGCAGGGGGTTTCTATACTAATGAATTAAGAGCAATATGTAGTCTCTAGCACTGAAACCAAACCATTTAAATCCCTGTTGTAGCATGCAGAATATTTCCTCTAAACATAAAATGGATGAGTGAATTTAATTCATCATTTAACAACATTGAAAATTGCAGGGTTTCTTTTGTTTCAAATCATGATGCTGCTTCTAAGGAAATGGAAGAAATGAACTGTTAGGGCAACTAGAATAGATGCAAGTATAGAGATTCTCACTACAGTAAAGAAAGCAGAAAATAAGTATTTGGGAAGTAGCTTCAGCTGACCTCTTTGATAAGACCAAGTTGCGTGACATATCTGATGTGAAAGCAGGAATTGTACAGCAATAGGAAGTCGTTATCTCCATATCTCAAGTGCTAACACAGTTCCCCAGTCAACTGAGAGATCTGCTCTTGTTATGACAGCTGTTGGAAACCTATGTCAGTATAACTGCAATGTCTTTTGATAGTCTTAACTATTACAAACCTTAAAATATGTTTATGATGTTATCTAAGACACACTGTTTGGAAATGTCTATTTATAATCAGAAATTGCTCAAGCTCTTTTAATAAATAAATTATATACTTGTGAGTTTCCTAGTCAGATTTGCTTGAAAAAGCATTGTGAACTTTTTTTTTCTGAAGACTTAAGCCTGAGGATTAATTAATGTTTATACAGCACTTTGTAAAAGCAAAGTCACAAGTGCCAAGAATTGTTACTATTTAATCTTTAAATGTCAGATCAATGACAAACAAAACTGTCAGAGAACTGCTGTTTAAAATAACAAAAATGCTGAAAATATTCTCCTCCCCATACTTAAATGTGTCCAACTGTGCTTTCATTTCAGTCTCACTTAAATACAGACAAGCAAAGATATTTTTCAGTTTAAATGGGTTAACACCCATCTGTGTTTAAATATGTGGTAAGATTACTTAAAATGCTAGGGACATTTTACAAACAGAAAAAAAAAAAAAATCTTTATTTCTGAAATGTATTTCTAGGGCCAAATATTGCAAGTGCTTATATATGCAAGTCCAATGTAATCCATCTGATTAACCAGTGTTACTTCTCTGTCCTAATTTATCCATTTGTGTGATGGGTCAGATCCTTGTAGTTATAGTTTAATTGTATTAGGCACACACAACTATTTTAAACTTACTAGAAAAAAGAATCTTTGAATTAATTTCTACTTTGCAGCAAATAAAGGTGTGGATAAGAACAATTTTCCTCAGAAAATTAGAACACTAGCAATAAGCAAGAGAAGATTGGAAAGGTAGAGAATTATTGAATTAAACTTTTTTTTTTTCAGGGTTATATAAACATGTTTTAATACATAATTGTCATTTAAGGAAAAATACTAAATTTTGCTTTGGCTATTCCTTAAGCAATATTCTCTCTTGACAGCTATATACACATTATTCATGCAGGGCTAATTACTTTCCTTACAATGTAATTGACTTGTTAAGTCAGAATATGAATTAATTGGTGGTATAGAAAACTAAATGATACCAAGTCAGGCTTAGTTAGTCTGTGTCTGGCATACTATCTCTTGATCTTCAGTAAATTTAAAATTTATATATACAGATATATTTTTAATTAGAAGAAACAAAGTTTGCAGACTGACTAATGCAAGTTGACTACATTTATGTGGAAGTGTTGATAACTTATGCAGATGCAGGCAGGCTGTTAACGTTTGGGTTTGCATGTTGCTGTGATGCATACTGAAATATGAACATCTTGAGGGTCCTACTGGCTGATAAAACTCTTCAAGAATAATTTTGAAACAGTGCTTAACAGCTATCAGTTATGCTGACCTTTAGTTGCAATTTGTTCATAAACAGATGGACTTAAGATTTATATACACTTAAATTTAGATTTAAGAATATACAGCTAAAGTCAGTATTTTGGAAGAACTCACTATTCACCATTAAGACTAGATTTTCAAAGAGGTCAGTCTCTGGAATGTTGAACTTCTTTGCAAGTCTGTCCCCAGTTATGGGTTCTAAACTCTTCTGAAAATCTCAATTACATTTAAATATCTACAGAAGAGGCTTGAGTTTTATTTTAACAGACTGGCTCCAGCTGCTGGCACAGAATACTCATGGATTTGGCCAAATTTACCTCAGAATCTGGCCCTTTAAAACTGCAGATGTATAGTGAATAATCTTGAATCTTCTGATGACTGTTCCTTTGTAATGACTTTGTGGAGTAGGTATCTTAAATTTTCTTAAGCACAGTACATGCTCATAAATATGAATTTGAGGAACAGAATATAAAATACTGGGAATGGAAATTGCTTCACTGAGATAGGAACAAATTCCATGAAGTTAAGCAAAATTAGGTGTTTGCTGTAGATAAGCTGAAGATTTTTTTAATTTCTTTGTTAAAATGCCTTAAAGGAAACTTCTATCATCAGGTTAAAAAGTTACTTTTGTTATCAAGATCTCTTTTCATATGGTATAGTTGAACTATCATACCTTCAATCTTGAAATAAAACCATTTCCCTTTTTAATATAAGGATGTTGTGTTTATACGTTTAGTTCTAATAACTTGTGGAAGAGGAGACTTTTTTCATCTAACATATAGCACTATTAGGATTAAAAGTGTTGCTTGAAGAACTTAGTTTCATAAACACTGAGAGTAAATGAAGTATACACAGTGTATTGGAAATAGAAAATAAATACTCCCTTAAGACATGTAATACTTGTATTCACATGTAACTTTACAAAACTATAGACAGTAGAAACAAGCAGTACACACCAAAATCCTGTAATTCTTACACCTTATAACACACCAAAGTATTTAAAAATAGTTGATTCTGATTCAGTTTTCAATGGTCTGTATATTCCAGATAGTCTGTTCTCATATAATCCTGCCTAAGAGTTGCAAATAAAATGCTGCATAAATTATATATAATCTTTCGAACTTTGTACGCACAATGATGTGCCCTATTGTTGTTGATGTGAACTTTACCATTGCTTAAAACCTTGCAACACAAAACTGCAAAAAAAGAATACAAAATCCGATACCTGTAATGTGATGAAGTTTTCCAGTGCCCGGGCTTTCTGCAGCTTAATTTCGCTGTGCCAAAGCTTCTGAGTTAAATGCTTTTACCTCCTTAAAAAAAAAAAAAAAAAAAGAAAAAGAAAAAAAAGTATGTCAGCACAAGCCCGGACGAAACTCCAAATCCGGGAAAATAAAATTAACCATGCAGATCAAAGGCAGACGAGCACTGAGACCAAATGCCTGTAATCTGATCAGTGATCAGTTGCCGTACATCAAAGGCAGAGCTTTGGAGAGGAAAAAGAGCTCCTTTTCCAGCAGGTAGTAGTGCTTCTCAAACTCTGCCTCTCAGTGCTCGCGTTCTTTTGTTAGAAATCGATCTTCCCCCGTTCCCCTCTTGTGCTGGGAGAATGCACACGGTTCTGAAATGCTCCGAGTTGAGTGGCTGGATCTGTAGCTTTTCAGTTCCCAAGCTGTGTTGTGGATTGTGTGCTGGAAGCTTTCCCCAGTGCCAGCGGGTTCCGCTTTATCCCTTTCATCTCGCTGAGCTGCAGATCCCATGACATCATTCAGTGCTGTGGGACTGGTTGGAGAGCTGTAACACAGCCTGGGGGGGAATGCAGCTACAGAGCAACAGGAGTTGGCACGATTTCTAATCAGGTTAGGCCATTGTAACAAACCCGAGGCGCACTTCAAAGTTTTCATTACATTAAAGTTTCCTCCTGAGGAGGGAGAATAGTGTAACTGTAAGGTTTTCTTAAAAAAGATGCTTTAGAATTTTGTCTGCATTGAGAAGTTACAATTTTCCATAAAGTTCTGGAAGTCAGACATGCAGGTCTGCAGGTTTGCTAGGCAGCGGCAATATATGACAGAAAACTACTTTTGCTTGTCCCTTTCTTGAGGTTTGGAGAGGGGGAAATGGTGTATTTTGTGCAGTGGAATTGTTTTTTCGTGCTGGTGAAAACAAGCACAATAGAGCTTGCTCTTAGTCCCTGTTGCTTACTGTGTGGTCTTTTGTAAATCATTTTGTTTGAGCCTGATTCATCTGTGGCTCATGATTCCTTTACGTAAATGAGCTGTAAAGATGCCATAAGTAACTCACAGAAGCTTTTTAGTGTATTGGCATTTTTCAGCTGGGGCAAATTCGAAGCAGTCACCAGTGTGCTGTAGGAAGAGGCTTTGGAGAGAATAACAGCAAATTGCCAGATATTCCCTGTGCTGCTGCAGTTCACAAACCCCAGAACTGCTGGAGGGTCCTGTTCTGCCCTAGGAAGCAGGGGAATTCTCTGGGCTGCTCTGACTTGCACTGTTTTGGTGCAGAGGAAATGCAAAAGAAATGTACAACTGCATTTCATTTTCTGTGATCTGAGGCAAACTTAGCTTTTGGTGCAGAGATTAATTTAGCCCCTTGTACTTCAGCTGTTAATAAACAGAAATATCAAGGAGGATGGCTTTTACAACCATCAGCCATATTGGGTATGTCACTGAAGTTCTTACAAAGCAGATGCAGACTCCTTTTTTACAAGGAGTCACATGGAAAAGACAATGGTGATGGGCACAAGTTACTCCTGTGGAGATTCCAATTGGACACAAGAGGAAATTTTTTCACAATAAGAACAATCAGCCACTGGAATAATCTCCCCAGAGAAATGGTGGATTCCCCAACATTGGACACTTTTAAGATTTGGCTGGACAGGGTGTTGGGACATCTAGTCTAGGTCATGCTTTGCCAAGAAAGGTTGGACCAGGTGATCCCTGAGAACCCTTCCAACCTGGTATTCTAGGGTTCTATGATTCTTGTAAATATATACACCATACTTTGGGCATACCACATGTGCAGGTGAAAGTGATACAAGCCTGTCAACTGGTAAACTCCTACAAATATTTGCACACTGAATAAGAATTCATTTAAAAGGCAAAAGTAAAAAGAGGAAATACGCTTGTCACGGTTGCCTTGAGCATTAAAACCAGAAGCAGTCAATCAGCAGATCATGGGTACTGGGTAGTAGAGTGGCAGAGCAATCAAGTGTCTTGGTGAGATTCCTGACTCTCTGCCCTGTTTGCAGGCTGCAACCTCCTCCCTCTGCCCGCCGCCCCCACCAGGCAGCCCCCGCTGCTGCCTGCTGCCTCCGCCGGGCCGGGCGGTGTGCTCTGCTGCGGGGCTGCTGGCTCACACTCGGTAGGTTAGGGAGCCATCTGCCGGCGAGACGAGGTACTGCGGGCAGGCTCAGGCCGGCAGCGAGCGCTGTGCTTAGTGAAGAAAGCTTCCAGAAAGCTTTGGCATCTTGTAAGGGTGCCATGTAATGAAACTTCGTTGCTGCTTGGACACGGTTTAAATACTGGTTTGGATCCTCTGTAGAGGCGAGTCTTTGGGGCATGATCTAGTAGTTGAGATGGAGGAGAGATGTTACAGGCACAAAGCAGCATCATGCAGGTAATGAACGCAATTTTCAGGAATTCACTGCTGGAAAAACAAACCATAAATTTCTCTCTTTCTCTAATTTCCACTTCAATATATTATAAATAAAAGGAAATTATCTAGGCTGCTTACTTCTATTTTAACATTTGTTTGTGCTCTTCTGACATATAACTTCCCCCTGCTCACTGGAAGATTTTTTGATAACAGTTCATTTGATGCTTTCATGGTAGAACTGGAAATGCTTAGGTTGAAATAAAATTCATGGGTGAGCTGTACAGAACTGAAATAACCCTTTTCTGTCCATTTCAAAGGTACTTTTATTTAAGAACAATACTGTTCACAGAAAGTGCCTTTTAGTTCTCTGGATTTTAAGCAGAAGCAAGTCCTGACAGTCTTTTAAGAGGTCTTTGATCTCTCTTTTGTACGTCAGAAAAAGAGAAGTGAATTGTTAACATTTTGGCTTTCTGAAGCTTAAGCATTACATTGTGCATTTATGACACTATTTTTTGCTGTGAAACCTGGCAGCCTGAACAATACACTATTTCCTATCCTATGGCTTCCTCAAAATTTGATCAGATGTGTGTAACAGTAACAGTTGTCTATATAATTCAATGGTTTTCCAAAGGTTGATAAGAATATTTTATCCTTACCTAAAATGATGATAACACGTATATATTGTAAATTGTATAGGGTACAGCACATAGTACCAGAGCCAGAGCACTGGAACAGGTTGCCCAGGGGGGTTGTGGAGTCTCCTACGTTGGAGATATTCAAGGCCCGCCTGGACAAGTTCCTGTGTGATGTACTCTAGGTTACCCTGCTCTTGCAGGGGGGTTGGACTAGATGATCTTTTGAGGTCCCTTCCAACCCTTGGGATTCTGTGATTCTGTGTATGTAACATGTAACTTGACTTTTATACCTCCTGATCATCATCTCACTCTTCCTGTTGCAGTCACTAATCCAGCAAAGCATTCAAGCACAAGTGGTCAGATTAAAACCCATTAGACTACTCACTAGAATTTTGTTTCTAATCACTGAAATTACTGGGGTAGGATCTGATCTGAAATTGCAAAAATTGGGTATCCAGTTTGTAGTCATTGTTCAGGCATCTAAAAAGCTCTTCTAGAAGTAGTGCTTGGGATTCTTGTGTGAAACCAGGCAGACAGATGGCTCTGAAGTCCTGCAGAAGGAGATGCTGTCTTCCTAATTCTTCCTTAAACTTTCCTATACTTTAGACAGAATCTTCCTTGAGAAACATCTAGTGGGTTTACCATTCTCTTTTTACCAGGTGAGGACTCCAAACTCTTAAGAGGTCACTTAATTTTTCTCCTACAGGTTAGGCAAGAATGAGACAAGGCTCTTAATTTAGGCATGTTAGAGACCATTTTAGGAATTTTTAGGGAAACAGAACAAAGCCCAGGGCTGCTCTTCATGCCCAAAGTGCTTCATTGGATGAAAGCCATAAAAGTCAGCTGACAGAAATTATAACTTTCTGAAGATGTTTCTTAAATGTAACTAAATCTGAAGAAAAATTCTTGGTGGAAGAAACAATCAAATCTATTAAACAATTGACAGTGGTTAATACAACCCTCTACCCATGTTTAACAAGTCTCTTCTAGTATTCATGCTGTGCCTAACTTGTAGTCATACACATTGAATTATTTACCATTTACTGCTTCACTGTACCTCTTCTGTCACCTTTCCTGTGCTTTGGTCCAGAGGAGCTCCAACAGACATTCAGAGAAGAGGCCAAGAATCATCACAGGAAATGCAGTGCCACCATTATAGCCCCCCAACTGGGCATGCAACCATTGTTTGTGCTAACCATAGCCATTCTAAGTGTGGCATTGATACTGGATATCCTATTACAAATGTCACACCAGCAGTATCAGTGCAGTTTCAAGTTTTCATCATGTGCATCTGCTGGGGCAGCTTTTCCCTGATGATCAGTAATGAGCTGCTGATTTATAGAGGTGGAAGACCATTTTCAGAGCCTTTGGAGCCTTAGTGGAAGGTCAGCACTGGCTCTGAAGCAGCAGTTGTCAATCCAGACCCCAGCTGCAGTCAGAAGCGCTGGTCACCACCCTCTTAAAGTGTTAGTGGGATATTGTTCCATGGGGCTTGTCAGTCCTGTGGTCAGGGAAGATGCTTTAGAATACACAAATCCATCCTTCTGCACGATCTGCATTGTCATCCTGTTGAAAGCTAACACCTTGTTTCTGCTTCATCATATGCATGTTGTTAGTCCAGGTTGCTGACACCTACTCCCCCACTCTGCTAGAGTGCTTATGATAGTCATAAGGTTCATAAGAACATCAACTACAGCACCTTTAGGCAGAAAAATCAAGACCCTTTGGCATTTCCTGAAAGACTGGCTCACTGTTATCGCAGAGTATGTCATCAGACTTGCCATAATCTGCCACAATCTGCAGAGTCATTGCAAAACAGCTTGTTCTAGTTAACACTGTGTCTGAATGTAGCCCCAACAGTTTTTGACTTCCAGGGAAAAAGCCCTGTCTGCCATTTATATGTTTTACAATGACAGGTCTTTGACCTCATGACTTAGGAGGAGAAAACAGCTTTGGTTTGCCCGTCTTTGGTCCTGAAATGTTATTGCTGTTGCCTATGTTTTCTCCCCATGGCTCTTCATAGGACTCAGCTTTGACTGGCTCCCTTATGAGTACCCTAGGATCTAAACAAAATGGAGATTTTCAGTTGTTGTCTCACCAGGTGAATCACTCTAAGGGAAACCTCAAGGGCATTCCCGCATCTAGATAAAGTGGAAGGTTGGGAATTTGGCTTTCGGGTTGTCCTCAAGGATAATGTAGATGCACCCTGTAGGAAGTATTAGTTATTCATATGTGACTGGGAGTCATAAGTTGTGGTTTTATTCTCGTTCTATCACATGCCTATGACTGGAGGCAAGTTACTTTTTCTCACTGGATTAGATCATGGGTTATGTAACTAATAGCTAAAATTAAATCAAAGGAGCAATGGCAGTTTATGCCATATGGCCATCCAGCCATCTCCCCTGCCTTCCTTCCCCCCAGTATGTTTTCCTATCTCCTTAAAAATAATGTGAAGATAATTTGTTATAATGTACCCAAGATAATAAAACCCAATTCTGTATGAATTCCAAACC